GGAAATAATATATAACATGGCTGATATATGATATAGTGATATTTTATCTTTTTTTTTTTTTTTTTTTTTACTTTTTTGTGTAAAATAACCAAACTGTGTGTGGTTTATTTTGTGGGCTCACAGGGCTGTATACAAAGTCACAATTTACTTTTAAATATTTTGAGTATCGGTTTTTGCTTTTGTTTTTCTATGTAAATACCAGGTTTGATCAAAACCTGGTAGCCTATCTAAGGGAAGGGAGGAGAGAAAAAATATGGAGTAACTGAGCATAACAGTGAACACCACTGCCTCATCAATTAAAAGACAAAAAGCACTAACTAAAATTCAAATAGTTTTTCTTCATCTAAAAAGATATGAACTGGACAGTCAAATTGTTAAAGTATTTTTTCTTTTGAGTAGTTTACCTTCCATTTTTAGTGTGCATGGCATATTGCAAACTAAAGAGACCTGACTTCCTTGATGAATTCAAAGAAATTTAGAACAAATGTCAAAAAGTCAAAAATAATCACTCACACTGGGTTAGCAGCGCCGTCACTGAGTAAAGAGTTTCCAATGTGAATCTCTGCTCCATTTAATTCTACTGCACAGCAGTCTCCTCTGTTGGTAACAGACATTGATGTGATAATGTAGGTATCCAGCAGGTCCACTCTCCACCAGGGATTGGTCATTCTCTCAGTGTGAGTACATGATCCTGCATAAAAGTTAGCCTGACGGTTTCCATCTATAGCTCCTGAAGCAGCTCCACAAACATGATTTACTCTGTCAGACTGGGTGGCTTTTCCATGCAATGCAACATTTTCTAGAAAAAAGATTTAAAGAAATGAAAATTTTATGCAAAAATCAAAATGTAAAAAAAAAGGGGAAAAATTATCAAGTTGAAGGCCAGAGTACTGGAGTAAAAATAGGAAAAAAGTTATTAGCTAAATAAGACACAGATCAGAAACAATGTCTAGTCAGTGGTTTATATTTTGAGTTCACTTATATATTAGTTAGATTTAGGACTCTTGGGCCCCTTCTAGATTTCTTGTTTTCACTTTTTTGTTACACCTAAAGATTTCAGATCACCTTGATGTCAGAGTAGGGAAAGAAGTGACGGACTAAAATGTTTTTCAGAAATATTCATCTTTATTTTCCACAAATCAAAATTCTTCTAGTCATGATTTTCTTAATATTTAAGAGTTAATTACAAGTTATGTAACTTACTATATCCGTGAGCCAGAACAGTCCCCTGGAGAATCAGGAGAAGCAGAGTTGAAGGGTTTCTCATAGTTCCTTATTTTGCTGCAGATAGTCAAGCAAAATACATGTTATTTAGCAAGATAGTTATAAAGCAAGAGTTAAAAAGTTGAAATCCTGTATCCGTGCAGAGTAAATGCAGAAACACAGAGCACCTGTACCTTTCCTCTGGAAAAAAACTGTTGAAGTGAACAGTATCTTGCCGTTTATAAAGGATATGTGTTGGGGCATCTTATCATGAGATGCGGTGATTAGGTTAATGATACACCTTTTATGATTTTAGTTTTCCCCTAGTAAGGTGATGTTTTAGTTAATCAACAAGCTAGTATAAGAACTAGTAGTACAGATTTTTTGTTGACATATTTTTTATAGCTTATTTATGCATTATTTCTAAACCCTTTAACAAACATTACATTTTTTACTGAAATGTATAGTCAAAGTTGCATTGTAACTTGAACTTTATGACTAAACCATTGTTTGACGAGAAGAACGACACTTTAGCAATTCTGTGCAGATGCATCTATAAGCCTGAAGCCTATTTTTTGGAATTTACTTCAGCTCTGAGGTTCTCGCACTGTTCTGCATATGTAACATCAAGAGCACCTATGTTAAATAGCCTCGACCTAGTAAACAAAGCGTTATATTCAAATTTTTTGGATACTCAGAAGGGACCGGCATCCAGCTCAACTTAGATACTAATTGCAGCTCCAGATAAGGTGAAAAAAGTTTTTTGAAAAAATAAACCTTGTGAAGTATGAGCACGAACTACAAGAACGAGTTTCAGAGTGCTGCAGTTCTGTGATTTGGCCACAGGTGGTTCTATCATTAGAAAACTCTTTAAAATAGAGAGCTATTAAAGGTATTATGGAGGATTTTCACATATTTTTTAAAAATCCCGCCCACTCCACTTAAAAAAAATGACCAACACTGTATCCGCTCCAGAGAGGGAACGCCTATCCAGTGCGTGCGAGAACATGCACAAGCCCATGATCGGAGGCTTTCGTGCGGGTTCTCCAGAGGGGGATTCGTAGCGGGTTCGATCTGGGAAATGGGGAAACAACGGTTAACGTTTTTCTTTAAACTTAGACGCAGGCCTATTGAGTCCTACCAGTTAAGGCTGACACACTGGCAATGATGTGCTGACAGCCGCATGCTTAAGAACCATCCCCGCTGATGACTGAATGCTGATCACCTGCGAGCGGTGCCTCCCTGCTTGTCGACTACCACCTGAGAAGAAGGGAGAGAAAGAAGGCAGCACCCAGCTCTTGTGTATCCGCAGCATCCTGACAACAGCCATCTTGAGGGATTTATTAACACTAGGACTCACAGAATTCTGATACTACTAGAGCTCCCACTGGCCGTCAATTGATGGGTGACATTTTTCCCAATGGAATGCATGAGAAGTGATAATGTAATCAACTGATATGGTTCTAGTGTGTGTGATGAACTCATTGTGGATATTTAGACCTTAAAGGCTGTATTGTATGCTATTACCATTAGTGGTTTAAATTTGTATTAACAATAAATCAATAAAATAAGACTGTTTTATTACACAGGTTCAAAGTTTGAAATTACAATTTTATTTACAGAAACTGATTGATTAACACCGAACATTTCCTGCACACCACATTTCACATTTATGGCAAACATCTGGCCGAGATCTCCAGAATGAACAAGGTTAAATCGTGATTATTCACATTCACATAACCGAACTGCTGTGAACCTGCCCTGCTAAGCTGCTAAGTGCTTGGGGAAACTCACACCTTCCAAAACTGACCTGGACAGAGATTTGCAGGTCTGGCACACTTAGGGACAGAATCTGTTGTCCTTTGTCCAATGCAGCTCACAAAGGCTGCTTAAGGTAGCTTTCCACCTCCACCTCCAATATCTTCAGAACAGCTCCAAATGACACAAAACGCATATGGGTGAGTAGAACATGATGTAATAACTTAAAATCAAGGGACTGATGTAAAAAAAAAAAACAGTGTTCCCCTTTAAGGTAGCTGTAACCTTTACTTAAAGGTAAAGGGGAGAATTTTCCTGAATTTTTGAAAAGACCCACCCTCTCCACTTAAAAAAAAATGCACATGCACAACCCTGTATCCGCTCCCAAGAGGGAACGCCTATTAAACTTGTGCTAGAGCATGTATGAAGACATTTGTTCTTGTTTAACTGGCAGTGGTCTTAAATGGAGTTCTCCAAATAACATGCCAAAGATAACCTTTCGAGTAGAAGCTTTGTAGCCGAGGCATCAGTGGGAAGCCGGACCTGTGCTTTCAGTAAGCATATGCACAGAAACATATCACCGGATTGATTGACATAAGGTGAACCACTTATTTTGATGATCCACCTGGGGAAAAAAACATCCTCAACTACAACTTTAAGACACCATCTTGTGACCCAGATGACAATAGACCTATATCCAATCTTGCTTTCTTATCTGAAATTCTTGAAAAATTAGTTGCCAAACAAGTGTGTGACCCCTTACCCCATAATTAACTGTATGAAGGTGCTGATGAAGATTCTCAGTCATACAGGTCATAGTCATTCCGTAAAAGTTCAAAAAAATCCACTGGAATTGGTTTCCAAGATTTGAAGACGTTTCGCTACCTCTCCAGGAAGCTTTCTCAATTCAAATGTCTGGATCCGCAGTGAGTTTGAGTCTTATATAGACAAGGAATGAGCACTAGAATTAGAGCAAGAGCATTAGCATCAATAATTTGGCCACGATGGCTGGGGCTGAGTTGTATAAATGGAAGCAGCAGCAGGTGGATAACATTAGCAGTAATTAAAAACCGGGCAGTTAGGCAGGTGAGTGAAATTAGGCCAGCCATCAGAGCCAAGACTATGACATAAGGTCTGAATTGAGTTTAGATTGTTACTGAAAAAAAAAACTATTAAAAAATCTAATGCAAAAATAATATGACTGTCAAGTTTGGTTGTGGTCTAGAGAACCCAAATGCAGAGGCAGAGAGGCTGAGGTGATTTCTGGTAGTTTTAATGCAAACACTAATAACAAAATCCAAAAATGTAACACAGACCAGAACCATGGAGATATCAGGGGAAAACACGCAGGAGGAGCCAGGGAGAGACAAGATGAGAAGACAAGAGCGACGACAGGACCAGCAAAAACCAGGAACCAAGCAGGAGTGACAGCAGAGGAAGAGAATATATAGGTGACTGAGACAAAGGCAGGGCTAACGAGCACATGAGGAGCAGGTGTGAGAGGAGACAACGAGGGAGGATTGAGTAGCCTGGTGGTGTTCTTCAGGAAGGCCGTATGGTCGTTTGGTGCATGCTGCGTGTTTCGAAGTCGCTTGTGGAGAAATGTCCTGGGCCGTGAGTAGTGAGGAAACATGAAGCAATTCTTGTGGGATGGAAGAGGGAAATAGTGACAACGAAGAAGATTGGAAAAGGGTAGCGTCAAAAAATGAGAAACAGCGGAAAAAGCAGAGATCAGTTGAGGGCAGTCCAGTTCAGAACATTCAAGTGATGATCAATCCATACATTCCACAGCAAAACAAAATGGGCCGGATTTATCAAGATCCAATTTTGCGTGCAGTAATTTGCGCTCGCAAACTGGAATTTTGCGCGAGAGGCTGAACCGTGGTTTGCGGGTGATTTAACAAGAGCGATTGCGTAACTGGCGGCAGGTGCAAAACTGTTGGAGACGCCCTATTTAAATGATGGTTTTGCGCGTTTTGTGGTTTGCGGCAAAGTAGTTTGTAGTTTGTGCAAACTAGTGCATTAAGAAATTTTAATCTTACAGTGACACCCCCACCCCCTCCAAAAAATTATATATATATATAGCCTATATATATACAAACTTTGGCAACCTTTATTCCCTAAGGTGGTATGTGGCTGAATTT